GTCAAACGGTCGGTTAACCGGTCGGTCAGACCGGTCGGTCAAACGGTCAGTCAGAGGTCTTTGACTGACCGATATCGGTCACGGTCATGACCGGTCATAACCGGTTAATGACCGTGACCGTTGCCATCCCTAACCGTTATAGAAAAAATGTATAATTGAATACCCTTATTTAGTAACAAGAGGTCATTTTATGGGGGAGATTGAAAGATCTTTTAAGTGAAAGTTATTGTAAAAAAAAAAAGTGACTTCAATTTATAAATATACAAATTGTTGATCTCTCCTTTATAAACAAGCTTCGTTAAAAATAAATAGATTTTTTAAATCTAGCTTTTTCTTGAATAAAATGAATAAACAATTGATGTTTCTATTTATAATGAGTAAATTAAGTGTAGAGAAATGGCAAATTTCGGTTTATTATAAGTTAAAATAGTATAATAGTAAAAATTTAAGGGAATTGCTAAACGTCGCCTGGGCGATTGTCGCCTGGTTTTTTTTTCAAATATGTCACATGATGTACAATATATAGAGTAAATTTATTAATCTGATTTTTTTTAACTTAGCTAATTTTTGATCGGCTAAACTTAAATTTTAATATTTGCAAATAAAATTTCATTAGATAAGATTATTTCGAATAAATATGTTTGCAAAAAATTTTTTTTTAAAAAATATCTTTTGCGATAAAATTTTAAGTCACACATTTACAATTTTAAAGAAAAAAATCGTATTTTTGATGAATTGATACAAATAAAAGAAACAATAACAATAAATAAAAAAGATAAGTAAATTACAATGATCAAGGAGAAAGATGCTAATAAAAAAATGAAATAACAATGGAGTAATGGAAAGTAATAGAAGATGAAAGGAAGTAAAAAAGAGTAGTGAGAAGTGATAGGAAACAAAATGGAGAAATAGGGCATGATGGTAGACGAAAAGGTGTGATGGGAGACGAAAAGGTGTGATGAGACGATAAAGAGGAGTGATGGGAGACGAAAATGAATGATGAGAAGATGAAGAAAAGTAATGGGAAGATAAAGAGGAGTGATGAGAAGATGAGGATGAGTGATGGAAGATGAAAGGAGTAATGGGAAGATGAAGAGGGGTGATGGAAAGATAAAGAGGAGTGATGGGATATGAAAGGATGAAAAGGAGTGATGGGAGACGAAAAGGAGTGATAGGAGACGAAAAGAAGTGATGAGAAGATGAAGATGAGTGATGGGAGACGAAAATGAGTAATGAGAAGATGAAGAAAAGTAATGGGAGACGAAAAGAAGCGATGGGAGTCAAAAAAATGATGGGAAGTAGTATTTGTTAGATACAAAAGTATTCTTGTATGATTATGAAGTTGAAAATATATTAATTCTCGATAAGTAAAATTGATCTGATAATACTGTAAAGGGGACTAGTCGCTTGTGACTTTGACGGTCATTACAATAGTCTATTAGTATGATAATGTTTGAGATTAGTATAATGAGTGTCGTATTTACGTGAAAATTTTTTTATTTATATTTAAAATAAAAAGGACTAGATAGAGCATGAATTTACAAATTGATTAATTTTTAGTTGATTTATCATATATTAAATTATTATATGATTAGATCAAATCGTCAAAAATATCAATCATATTATTTTATCGTATGAAAAGGCCATGATCCGCTATTTTGTGAGAATAAATTTTTTACTGGTTTGTAAATAATGAATAACTTTTTAAGATACATATGTTAAAATACAACTAATTTTATTTGTACAATAAATAAGAAAACCGAATTAAATAAAATATATTATACAATTGAATTTTAAAATAATAAATATTGCTATAATTTATAATTTTCGAAAACTTATGAAGAAATATTAGATCTGCATTCCTCATTAAAGATCAATATAGGATTATAGATTAAGCGCATTATTATTTATCATGGCTTGAATCGCCAAATGCATTATTTTGACGTTAGAAAAAATTTTTTTTTAGAATCTTCTAAAATTTCAAAGGAAATAATTGGTTCTTTAAATAAAGAAACATTATTTTTATCGATCAGAAATTTTCAACAAAGATTATTCTGCAGATTTCAGGATTTCCAGATGACTTTTTATTCAAAATTATTCTATTCTTTATTAATAAATTCTTTAAGTAAATTGATTATATGCATAAAGTCATTTAATTTAATTGATTGAATCTGAAAAAAAATGGTTTCCCTATAAGAAATATGTATACGGAAAGGATACGTTTTGTATACATTTTATGTAAGTTTCTATAGATTCCGTATACAAATTCCGTATATTTAATAAGCAATTCATTTTTGAACATTTTTTAAAAAAACTAATGTATACGGAAAAAATTAATCATACGGAATGTATACGGAATTTTTAAACTTAATATTTTTAGAAAATAATTTTCACAAAAATCTCGTATCAATGTATCATAACACGAGATCACGTGATTGTTTATTGTTTTGTTATTTGTTTTTTATATAAATTGATGAGTTTGATCTTCCGGGACAATTAAAAAAACTCTTTCCTCTTTCCGTCTGGAATTTATTATTCCGCAGTATTCAAAAACACAAAATACCTTTCTGCTCTAGATAGGGTAGGAGGTGGGTCCTTTTTGGACTCGGCGGTTAGTGGTTAAAGAACTTTACTACACTTTACTACACTCTACTCACAACTATGGTCCTGGAACCCTCGGCCTTTCCGCTTATACTCGACGCTCCCAACTACGGCAAAATACTTTTTGGCTTTCCTTCCTTTAGAGAAACGGGCTTACTTAAACACAACCTTTATAAACTTCAACAACGGCTACTTAACCCTGAGAATATTCCCAGGAAAAAGAAGACTTCTTTATATAGGGTCTCTTCACGTCACCTAGAACTTTGGATAGAAGACACTTTCGTTCGAAACTTTGACCAACATGCCTTCGACGCTTTGGCGTTCGCATGGTCACGTGCTAAACGCGACAACTTACCTTTTATGGCTGCATGTAATGTGCATTTCAAGAAACACAAAATCAAACCAACACCAATTAAATTTCACGGTACACGAACTCTAACTTCCCATATCAAGATGACCTACCGCGTGGAACATTACCTTCCAATGGTTTGGCAAAAACAACCACGTGATTACACAAAAAAAGAAAAAATTTTTAAGGATACTTTTTACTCCTTACAGCGTTGGTTATTAGAACTAATACTGCGCTTTTTACACCTATTATCCAATCATACGGTTGCAACTGAGTCACTTACTAAACACCTTTGGACTCGATCATATAGGTGGCACCTTTATTCGACTCTCCGACCAGAGGACCTCCATACCCCGTATTCTCTAAACGAAGGTTTAGTTTATTATTCGAATATACACAAATATATAGTTACTTTGTTTTTGTTTTTTGTTTTTATTATCCCCTAAGTCCAAATTCCCTCGTGTAAGATGGTGGGACAGCTTCGGTTCGACCTCCATAGGCCTATTTTTTCGCACCAGGGTGGCACTGGCTACGGTCGGTTTGATTTCAGCGTGGTATAGGATAGCGTTTGACCCTTTTTATAAGTGTTCTTGTCTATCTTTCTGTAATCTAGTTCACATGGTTAATAAAAATAAAAATAAAAATAAATGAGTTTGATCTTCCGATCTTCCTTTCTGTCTTTCCTTTTCTTCTCTTTTCTCTTGTCTTATTTTTGTTATTTTTTCTAAATTTTTCTTCTTTTTTCGTCACCCCCCTTAAAAAAAAAAATTTTTTTTTGATTTTATTCTTTTATTCCCACTATTCCCACTCTTCTTTTTTTTTAAAAAAAATTTTCTTCTTTCTATTTCTATTTCCTCTTTATAAAAAATTTTTTATTTTTCTAACTTTGACGTCCTCCCTTTAAAAAAAAAATTTTTTTTAACTCTTCTAACT